GACTACAAGACCTGCTTTTAATGTGCTTCGCACTTGCTTTTGTGAGTGCTTTATTTTGGGGCAGGAAGGAGGAATCCTGTAATTTGCTAGCAAATGAAATTTCAATTTCATTTGCTAGCAAATTAAAGCATCTGCATTTGAAGTGACTGCCTGGCAGAGTGGCATTGCCTGGGCAGCTCCGTTTTCTTTATCAGTGCTCAGATGTTTGAATTTTTTCTCCTTTTCTTTTTTCCCCCCAGTTAGTCCTCGTGTTGCATTACTCTCTTCCCAATTTCCTCTCTCCATGCAGCCATGTTTCAGCCAGAACAGTGCACAAGAGACACAAAAATAAGTGGAAGTAATACCATATATATAACCTGTTGCTCTTTGTAAATGACTTGGGACATGCACTACTTGTTTCTGTTTGTTCTGCAGCGAGGCAGCGGTGAGGTGTGCTGCTGAGGCACGGCCCCTGCTTTAGAGCAGCCTGTTTCCAATAAATTCAGCTTCTACGCAATCCAAGGGGCGCACGGGGAGCTGCAGACGATCTTAATGAATGGAAGGAAATAAGCCACACAATTATTCCACGCGGGCATCAAGCGCGTTTGCTACGGTGCAGAGCTGCCCACTGGCACTACCACAGTGCCATCCTCAGCTCCGCAGCCTCATTGCGCTCCTCTTCCGCAGCTCCCTGCTCTGCTGCTTCAGCTCCAGATTTCAACACAAGTGCTGTGTCTCACAAAACAGACCTCTCCTCTTTCTCTTACTTTGGTTTTCCTTGCTGGCCACTTTCTCATCCTACTCTTGAAACTAGTCTCCATCCCGGCTCCCCAGTCCATGTACCAGGAGCAGCATCTTCTTAGCTCTGCACCTCGACAGGTGTCCTTACTGTTCCTCCGCTGCCAGCTCCCCTCTCTCATTTGAGTGGTTGCCTTTTCCTCTCTCACCTTGTCATCAGGAGCTCTTGGTCTTCACACTTCACGTGGTCAGGAACCATCCATCTTACCTAACCTCTGGGAGGGGCTGGGTTTGCCGTGCTCAGAGTCAGAATTTATCTGTCAGGTGTTGAGGACTGCAAGAGCAGTTTGATCCCAGGACGGCTCCTTCCTTCTGTAGCTGTTAGGTTCTTGTCTAGCAGTGCTAGCCCTGGAACAGGTTTCTCTGCTGACGAGGTGCATGCTGTATATCCAAGGTGTGCACGTGTTTATATTCATCACTAATTCCTCACTGATGAGGTCCTTTTTGCTCATGTTTGCTGTGTGCAGTGGTGTTTCTGTGTTCAGCTGCCAACACGGCCGTGAAACACATTTCCAGCAAACCTTCTCCAAAGAGCTGGCTAGCCGGCGCTGATGCTTTCAGCAAACTTTCCGCCGTGTTGCTGATCATCCTCCGTGAGCTGGGAGAGTGAGATGACCTCGTCCCCGCGGCTCCCCGCCTCCCCGTCCCTCCCGTGCCGGGGGGAGCCGTGCGGCGCTGGACCAAGAGGTCTGACGGGCTCTCCAAGCCACTTTCTGCCGGTGTGCGGATGAGCAAAGCTGCAGCCCAGCCTGCATCCCAGCCCCTCACACGGCACCTCTGGAAATGCCGGAGTTTCCGAAAGCTCTGCCAGCCCTTAGTAACCTCCTGGGAAATAGAGACGCAATCTCAGAAGGACATAGATGTACTGCTGCCCTGTTTTTAAGACGTGTTGATGGACAGTTTCTCTCTCCAGCTCCTATTCTTTCAGCCCGACAACTGCATTCCCAGGTGAAGGCGACTGGGAAGGCTGCAGTTCCCAGCCTCCCGTAGGCATGGGCAGTGCCTGGAGCAGCGGGGAGGTGCGGGCTGCCGTCCGGCTCGGGCTCTCGCCTTTCCACCGCTGGTGGTCGTGCCAGGGGGAGAGGGCTGAGCCCCAGCCGAGGCGTCCCTGGGTCCTCACGTACGCCAGGGATGGCCCGGGACCGAGGCGGGGACAGACTCCCCCCGCCCCAGGAACGCCACTGCAGCTTGTCTCGTAGCAGTAGGCTTTTTAAGCAAACCACGAGGCTACGATGTCCCCGCATTGCGCGCGTCCCCCGTCCCCCGTCCCCCCCCCCCGTGTGTTGTAGCGTCCGTTCAGCCCATCCTTTAGCTTGGTGGTTGTGAAATGAATCCATCTGTTCTAAGATGTTCTCAGGAGTTCTTGTTTGTATTAAGCTCACCCCCTAGGCTTAGCAGAAATCACGATCCCCGTCCTTCCTCCTCCCCTCCCCAGTGACAAGCCCTCTCTTTCACGAGCACTTCCACCCTCTCCCCAAAGGGCGGTGGGGAGGGGGCAGCTGGCGGTTTCGATTCAGGGCACGTTGGCAGCTTGGGGGCAGCCGGAGGAGCTGGGATGCAGCCGGCCGGCGTTCGCAGCGTGGGTCTGGAGGCCGGGGCGGTCCCTTGGGCTGCATTGCTAGCCAATGTTTTCTAAGTCTGTTTGTAAGAGTACCTAATTTTAAAATGAAATGTGAATATATATTATGTGTAGGTGCCATGTAAGATAGTGTTGTGCTAGGCGGCAGGATGCTAACCTACTTTTTAAGCTGTTTTGGGGCAGGAAAAAGCATTTTTCTCTCACTTCATGCTCACAGATCTAATATTGTAAATAGTTTTTTTTTTTAATATTTATTTCATGGGCTTTCCACAGGTTCTTGTTCTGACTGGTGTGTCGGTTGGCGGGGCTGTATTGCCCAGCGCGCCGCAACCAAAGGGCTGGCTATTGCGTGGGGGGGATGGGATGGGGTGGGGTGGGTGGTGGTGGTGGTTGGTTTGGGATTTTTTTTTTTTTTTTTTTTTTTTTTTGTGTCACATCGAAGTTGAAGCATTATCTTGTTCTCTTCATCTCATTTTGATGATGTCAGACCTGGTCTATGGCCACGGTTCCGGGGAGGCAGCGAGCTCCCGTGGCCGGCCGGGATGGCTGTTCCCCAGGGCGGGGGGCACTGCAAGCAATAAGATTTGTAGTAATAATGTGTGCTTCAATGGCAGGGGCTGCCAGGGCTCAGGGCCGGGTGGGAATAACCCTGCTCCTGACCGGGGCTCCATCCAGCACCACGCGTCGGGGGGGCACCTCTTGGCCTGGGGATGCCCAAGGAGGTGTCCCCAGGGAGGCAGGAGGCGGTGGCTGCTGTCACCCCCACGGAACACCCCCCCCCCAGGATGGCCGGGGTAGGGTAGGTAGTTACTGATGCTAGCGAATTCCTGCAGTGAGCAGCTGCCTTTGGGGCGCCGGCGCGTCCTGCGGGTCTGGGCGGCCCAAGGGAGCGCCCCCACCGCCGGCGCCGTTCCGTTCCCAGGGCTGGCTCCCGAAGGCCGTTTGCTCATTTGCTGGACATTCTGCAATTTTTATTCTCCTTCTAAGGGAGGTTCGAGGTCATTTGGTTGTTTTCTCCTAAGTGTGTTTTGGATTTTTCTTCTTTTTTTTTTTTTAAACCCCCTTTTTGTCTGGAAGTGTTTGCTGGCTTCCCCCTCCCGCCCCAGCACGGCTGTCTGTGTGGGGCAGCGGCAGCAGGATCGTTGCTACTTTTATGATGCTGGATCCCTGTCCTTGGAGGGTGGAGCGGGAAGTGCTGCTGGGTCCAGGCCCTGCAGGACCCCCTCACCAGCCTCATGCTTCCTTTGCCCTTGGAACAGGTGTGTAAAAAAAAAAAAAAAAAAAATAAAAGCGAAAAAAAAAAGGCAACAACAACCCAGTAAAATTTCTTTTATAAGATGCTCAACATTTAAATATTATCTCCACCCTGATGGCAAATATTTTTCCTTCATCTGTGTCTGCTCCCCTGGGAGAGTTTTGTTTCTCTGTTTGTTTCTATATGAATTTTAGGCACTGAGCTGAAAAGTCCTCCTGTCCGGTACTGTATGTTTGAGCCTAAGCAATGTGAACTGTACAGACCAGCAGTGGGAAATGGGAGCCGGTGACTGCGCCTGGGGGAGCCGTGGCTTGGGACGGCATTCCCGGCCGCTCTGGGGAGCGGGAAGTACTGCGTTGTGAGTTGGGAAAATGAACTGTCTGCTGTGAATTCTCGGTTGGAAATGTGGAGAGGGGTTTCCATTAGATAATGTTTACATACCTCACCTGACGAACCTTTGAAAGTGTATATAAAAAAAAAAAAAAAAAAAGAAAAGAAAATTATATTAAGTTGCTTTAAATCAATATGTATAGCTATAAGAGCTGGGTCATTTGAACTTTGAATATGTATCAACTCTCTAAATGTTGACATTTTGTGAACTCTGTGCTCCTGTCTTTTATTTCATCCTAGCCTATGGAAGAAATTGTTGTTCCAGGTAAAAGGTCCCTGACTCAGATCTGAACTCCTCAAGGATTCCCACCACCTTGTTTTCTTTTCTTCCTCCACTGTCGATATTCACCCTATGAGCTTTCTAAAGGTCCGTATTTTATTGCAGCTTATTAAACGTTTCTTTGATATCAACGTTTGTCTGATGTGGTAACTGGGGAAGGGCGAAGATGAGAGAGTGCATGAGGGAGGGCAGCAGGCTGGCACACTCCAGGTGGGACCCCCCTCTCTGGAGGGGGGGATATAATAAGCACCCAGGTGGGATTTGAGTGCTCCCACACCAGTGGCTGAGATGCTGGTGCTGCTTTCTGCAGCAGATTTGTGTTTGCGGCCTGAGCAGTGCAACCCCTCGGTGTTCCCAGGGGCGGCTGCCCAGGCCCTCTCTCTCCTTCCCCAAAGAGTTACAGGTGCCCAGTTTCCCCCGCAGCCATTCCATCCCTGCAGCAGGCACCGGGCCCTTCGGCCTCTCACGCTGCCCCACGCACGACCCAGGCAGCAATGGCTCTTTTTGCAAGACCTTGCACAGATAACCCCAGTGATCAGCCCTCAGCCCGGGGCTGCGTGTCCTGGCACCATGGGCTGATGCTCTGGCTGCAGGAGTAGCAAATCATCACCTGTGGCAGGACCAGCTCTCCCCAGCCTGTGCCAGCTCCTTGTATGCCCAGCAGCTCCTGAGCACCAGCTTCCCCCTTCTCCCTTCCAGGAAAGAAGAGGCCAAGCCTCTGAATGAATAAATGTCATGTTCACATGGAAGACAACATAGACAATACCAAACATCTCCTAAAACAATACAGCCTCTGCCAGCGGAAGGGTGCTCAGTGCCTCCCTTGCCAGCCTAGTACAAACCATCGTCTTCAACAGTGACACACACAAACCCCACGGGCCAAACAAAGCCACCGTCACTTTCCTGCCCAGTAGCATCTGTAAACAAAAAGAAAACATAATTTGTTGACCCCAAACATATAAAAATACTATAACAAAATGAAATACAAATATATATTAGAATCTGTAAGTATTCTGTATAAAGAGATACTTTAGAGGTTAGCTTACAGCAAGAACAGAAACACAACACAACCAAGCCCTGGATGGGCCATGGGCAAAATGAGACGTGTCCCGGCTCCTCTGTGCAGCAGAGGGGCCTTCTGTGAAGAGGCCCTTTCTGGCAGAAACACATCCCCATGGTGGTGGGAACATCCGGGGTGGTGGTGATGAGCAGGTACGGTGACGGCACCCGCCAAGCCAGATGCACCCGGTGGAGCTGCCCGGAGCCCGGCTGCAGCCGGCGGCGTGGACCTGAAGCCGTCACGCTGGAGGGGTGCGATGGAGAGACCCAGGGCTGCAGCCTGGGATGAGTTTGAGCTTGTCTGCCTGTGGCGACGTGCTTTCCACCCACGTGCGGTGTCCCAGGTCAGGCTCCCACCATCCTCGGCCCCCCACGGGTGTAGAAGCGATGCTGCTGCGGAGGCCGGGTGTGCGCGGTACCCCGGCACGGGCTCCCCACGCTGCGCCGGACGCAGCGCTGCCCCTGCTCCCGTGCCAGCACAGTGCATTCACTGCGGGCTTTGAGGGGTGCTGCCCGGCCACCCACACGAGTCCAGGAGCTGGTGGGACCCGCCGTGGCAGCGGTGGCAGCTCCAGGCTTGCAGGCTTGGGCATCTTCAGCCTCTTCAAGCGGCCCCAGCACCCAGAAGGCTCAAGCCCTGGCGCTGGGCACGGCCAACCCACACCCTGCCTGCCCCAGCAGCCTCCTGCCCCGGCTCGCTGGGCCAGTGGGATGTGGGGCACCTCTGCTCAGCTGCAGAGCCCCCCACCCAGGGCTGAGCCTGGAGGAAAGGGGTTTCTGCGCTGTCCCGTGCAGCTCCCACCTGAGCAGAGCCACCTTGGTGTCCTGGCGGCGTTTGGGGCCCCCTCCACATCAACAGCCCAGCGCTGGACCCTGCAGCGCGCTGCCCGTGCCCGTGCCCCTGCTCAGCACGCCTGGGACCACCCTGGTCCTGCTCCACCCAGCGCAGCCCCGACACCACCACGAAAGGCTGGAGCCGTGGGCCATGCACCCCAGAGCCTGGCTCGCAAGCACAGCCTGGGGGTGGCCCCAGCGGGTCAGGCTGTGGCCGTGGAGCCAGTGACATGATTTAGGGCTCTCTGGGCTCCAGCACCCCCGGCACCACACCGGGGAACCGCTCGCTGCAGCTGCTATCCGCGGCCGGGAGGCCAGGGCTGCCGGAGGAGAGGTCGGGGAGCCGGGCTCACGGGGTGCCGGCTACGCCGCACAGCCCTCTGCCAGCCACAGCTTGCCACAGCCCACGAGGTTCTGCTGCGTCAGAGGTTCTGCTCCAGCCCCAGGTGATGGAAAAGCCCCCGGCTCGCTGGGCTGGATGCAAGGGACGGGGCTGCCAGGGAGGGGACACGCAGGGGGAGACAGGCACTGCCCTCCGTGGCTGTGGGGCAGCTCTAGGGGGGGGGGGAAGTCAGAGTGCCCACCCTGTACCCACACATCTGTGTAGCTGCACTTCTTAAAAAAATTCTCTATCTACACATTTGTTTTTTCTTTTTTTTTTTTTTTTTTTTTTTCCCAACACTCTAGATGCAACAGCTCTACCCTCTGCCGGGCTCCTCTGATGCAGCTGCAGTTCAGGAACACCCAGGCAGCAGCACCGCGGCCGCAGGGCAAAGCGAGGTCTTTGGCTCGGGGCAGGGGGGGTGGGCTCCCCAACATCCCCCCCCCCGGCTCTCCGGGCCCGGTGGCCGCTCACAGGCACTGACTGCAGCCGCACTTGCTGGGCTTCTCCACCTCCTCCACGAAGGTCGCGCCGTTGCTGCACTCGAAGGCGTATTTCCTGCGCCGGAGCCGCAGCCCCGTGCAGCAGCCGGCGCCGGGGCCGAGGCAGGTCCCCCGGCACTCCACCCAGGCCACCGGCCGCGTCGTCTGGCAGATGGCGTAGCCCCGCTGTACCTGGTGGTAGTCCCGCACCGGCTCCCCCCGGCACTCCGGCTCTGTGGGACGGCAACGCTCAGCCCCCGGCGTTGGGGTGATCCCCCTCCCAGGGAACCCACCTCCCCAGCGCCCACCTTGGTCGCAGAGGGCTCCGGTGTAGCCGCCGTGGCACTCGCAGGTGGGCTGGCCACCCGGGGCGAGGCGGCAGTGGCCGTGGGCGCAGGGCCGGCGGCGGCAGGGGTCGGGGGGCTCGGCGGGCTGGTTGCAGAGGGCACCCTGGTAGCCCTCGCGGCACTGGCAGCTGTAGGAGAGGGCGTCGAGGGGCAGGCACAGCCCGTGCACACACCTGCGGGCACCAGGCGCCATCAGGCACCTGCTGGCACGGCACCGGCACCAGCACCGGCACCGGCACCGGCACCCAGCACAGCCTGGCTCGGCACCGGCACGGCGCCAGCACCGGCGCAGAATTGGACCAGGACTGGCGTGGCACCACCACGGCACAGCCATCGTGGCACGGCCTTGCCACGGCTCGGGCCTGGCACTGCCAGCACAGGCCAGCCCTGGCACAGCCGGGTGCCAGTGGCACGGCCACGGCGCGGCCAGGGCGGCAGGACCCGGTCCCAGGGGAGGGAGGAGGGCAGCCAATGGGAGGGGCGGGCAGGGCAGGCAGTGAGGAGGGACAGCCAATGGAGAGGGCAGGGATGAGAGGGGCGGCCAAGGCGACCAATGAGGAAAGGGCAGCCAAGGGAGTGGTGCAGTTGTGGTGGGGCAGCCAATGAGGAAGGAGCAGCCAATGAGCCAATGGAGTGGAGCAGTTGTGGTGGGGGCAGCCAATGAGGAAGGAGCAGCCAATGAGCCAATGGAGTGGAGCAGGTGTGGTGGGGCAGCCAATGAGGAAGGAGCAGCCAATGAGCCAATGGAGTGGAGCAGTTGTGGTGGGGCAGCCAATGAGGAAGGAGCAGCCAATGAGCCAATGGAGTGGAGCAGTTGTGGTGGGGGCAGCCAATGAAGTGAGGCAGCCAAAGACCCAACGGGGCAGATGGGTCACTGTTGAGCAGCCAATGGGCCACAACCATTGCTGTAGGGCAGCCAATGGGGCAGCACTGTTGCTTCAGGACAGCCAATGGGGCAGACGGGTCACTGTGGGGCAGCCAATGGGTCATGGCCTTTGCTGTTGGACAGCCAATGGGGCAGATGGGGGTCACTGCGGGGCAGCCAATGGGGCGGGGGCACTCACTTGTGCCCCTGGCAGGGGCCACCACGGGGCTGGTCGCAGTGGGGCCCGTCCCAGCCGGGCTCGCAGTGGCAGACGGGGCCCTGGGCGCCGGCGGGCTGGCAGATGCCGTGCAGGCAGTAGAGCTTGCGGCAGGGCTCGCAGCCTGGCACCACCCCCGGCGTCATCCGCGTCTTGGTGAAATCCTGCAGCTCATTGTTGATGTAGAGGTTGCGGATGCACCCATGGAAGCTGGTGCCATTGAGGAGCTGCCAGAGGCGGAAGGCGGCCGAGTTGACGTCCACAGGCATCCCTGGGGAGAACAGGGCTGTCAGCGTGCCTGGATGGTCCCCATGCCCCCCCTGTTGCCCTCCTGTCCTACCTCCCACGTAGAGGGGGGCCTCACTGTTCAGCGTGTAGTGCTTGCCCGAGTTGTCCATGGTCATGGGGCTGCCACCGTCAATGGAGAGGTTCACCATCTGGTCGAAGGTCACCAGCTCCACGGTGTGGAACTGCCCGTCATTGATGGTCTCAGCGCTGGTGGGGATGGCTGGGTCACCGGGGATCCCTCAAACCCATGCAACGGGGGTGGCGGTCCCCCAGGAGCAGGGAAGGGGTGGTGGGTACCTGTAGATGGCTGAGCTGGGGTGGGTGCCGGGGTCATAGCTGACCCTGACGTGGCCCTGGTACAGCTCCACAGCCATGTGGTCGCTGTCACCGTTGTACAGCAGGATGCCGTTGCCTTCAGCTGTGGACACCTGGCACAGGGAGAGGTGGGAGCCCACATCCCTGGGGCAGCACTCTCATGCTAACCCCCCTCCAACGCCCCCACAGCCCCCCCCCACAGCCCTCACCTGCAGGGTGATATTGGCCCGGGGCCAGTCCTGCAAGTCGGTGAACTGCAGGTACGTGTCGCGGTCCACGAAGTTGACACTCAGCAGCTTCTCACACTTGGGGCCGCCGAAGCCGGGTAGGCACTGGCAGAGGGCGCGGGCGCCCCGCTCCACGCACGGGGCCCCGTTCTGGCACTCAGCTCGCTCACAGAGGCCAGGCTGGCCGGTGGTGCGGGGTGGCATCTCGCAGAGCTGGCCGCTGCGGGGTCACGGGTGCTGCTGGGCACGGGGCTAGGAAAGCACCCTACCCCCTGCCCACCGCCCCTTGGGGCTCTGACAGCACCCCCCTCTTTTGGGGTCCCCAGGGAGGGTTTCCAGCCAGCGGCATCAGAAGGATGCCTGTATGCTGAGATCTGCTCTGGGGTCCTCCCAGAGAGACTGGCTTCCCCAGCCTCCATCCCTGGCAACCCACACCCCCAGCCCCACTCCTTCCTCTCACACTGGAAGGGGATGGACGGATGGATATGATAGCCAGGACTGATCCCTCCTGCATAGTAACACATAACCATCTTTGCTTTCCCCACTGTCCCCCCATCTTCCCAGCTGGTACCTGTAGCCCTCGGTGCAGAGGCAGGAGTAGCCGTTCACCTCGTCCAGGCAGCGGGCATTGTTCTGGCATCGGTGGTCCTGGCAGTCATCGAAGTCCTCGCTGCAGTTGCTCCCCACGTAGCCGGGCGCACACTCACACCTGGGGCAGGTGGGGGGCTCACAGGTGCCCCTTCCTTCCCCCCGTACTGGTGGGCACCTGCTCCTCCTGGCATCCCCCTCCCCATGCCCCCCCTCACCAGCCTGTGAGCTGCAGCCCCCCAAAAGTAAATCTCCCCCACCAGGCAGCTGGGAAAAAGTGGTTTGGGGAGGGGGGGGGTCTCACCTGTGCCCCTGACTGGTGGAGATGCAGGTGGAGCCGTGCTGGCATGGGCTGAGCTCAGCTGAGCAGAAATCCGGTGGCTGCTCACAGAAATCCCCTGCAGGGCAGAAGAGGGGGTGCCAGGGGGTGCCCAGCAGCTCCGGGACCAGAGGGCCAGCCCTGGTCCCTGCTGGGGCATGGGGTGTTCAAGGGGGGCTCAGCTCAAGGCAGAGAGCTTCCCAGCCCGCAGCTCCACTGCCACGGGTGCAGGTCTCTGCTCCACCAAAGGCAGCTCTTGCCTGAGCCAGGCACTGGGGGCATCCCAGGGTATGGGGACTCAGCTGGGTGTACCCAAACTCGAGGTGGCTGGGCCCAGAGGCCGTGGTGATGGGCACTGGGACAGCAGGCAGAGGAGCTATTAGCCCTCATCACTGGGAAGGGAGAATCACTGGGTACATCCCTCTGCCACGCCCACCAGGTTTGGGGACGGCTAGCCCTCGTGCTGGGTACCTGTATAGTGGGCAGGGCACAGGCAGGTGTAGTTGGTGGCACTGGGCACGCAGGAGCCCCCATTCTTGCAGCTGTGCTCTTTGCAGGGGTCGCTGGCAGCACGGCAGCTCGGACCCTCGAAGCCCACCAGGCACAGGCACCTGCCACAGGGCATAGGGCAGCGTCAAGGGGTGGGAAATGGAGCGTTTTGGGGTGATCGCCCCAAAAATGCCAACACAAGGAGCATGTATGAATGCCAAGAGGCTCTGAGGAGCAGGGTTTGGTGCTCCCCTGCCAAACTGCAGGCACAGGCGAGGGTGGCAGTGCCCAGCCCCACGCGGAGCACGCAGTGAGGATGCTGAGTTGCCACGACAACGGGCTGAGAGGCCACTCAGCACGTGACGGGGCGGGGGGGGGGGGTGGCAGGCAGCTGTGCAGCCCACCATCTATTTTCAGCCACTAATTGGGCCCCGGTTCCTGGAAAGGGCTGAAGCATTCGGGGTAGCGAGGGTTGTGCGGGGTCACGGCAGCCCCGCAGAGAGCGGCAGCGACCCCAGTGCCGCATCCTGCCCCATCCCGCACAGTCAGCCCCGCTGCAGCAGCTGGATCCCAGCCCCAAATCCTGCTGCCCTCTGCCTCCCCATACCTCCCGTGGCAGCGGGACCCCCTCTCCCCGCTCCACTCAGCCCAGGAGCCTGCAGGGTTGGGGGGTACGGGGAAGCGGAGCCAGCGCTCAGCCCTGCTGAGCCTCTGCTGGCAGGAGGTACAGGCTGGGCTGCAGAGAGCAGGCAGCACGGGCTGGAACCGCCGCCTGACCGCAGTATCCAGGCTACATGCCCCGGGGGGAGCATGTAGGAGGGGAAGGAAGCATCAGATTTTATCTCTGTGGGATGTCAGGACTCCATGGATTCCTGTCCAGCACTCACCTGAACCCAGCTCCTTCCCCCTCCTGGGGCTGGCAGGTCCCCCCATTGGCACAGGGGTTGGAGGAGCAGCCGCTGAGTGCCACCTCACAGTCCCTGCCCTGGCGAAAGAGGGAGAGGTGGGAGCGAGGAGGGTGCCACAGCATCATCTCCCGCCCCCCCCTGCCTTGTCCCATTTTTGAAGGCACTGAGGTGTGCAGGGAGGGGGGACGATCCTGCAGGCAGCGAGCTGTGGGGGCACGGCAGAGCCCCCACACTGCCCCCTCCCCTCTGCAGGGATGGGTCCCCCCACACTGGGGAGCTCCGGCACCAGGGTACCTTATAGCCGCTGGTGCAGGCACAGCGGTAGAAGCCGAGGGGGTCGTTGTGGCAGGTGCCCCGGTTCTGGCAGGGGCTGGAGAGGCAGGGGTTGCACTTGGCCTGGACGCTCAGGGAGGGCGGGCCTGGGGGACAGGAGGTGTGGAGATGGATGTGGGTGTGGGGGAGGCATCCATTTTTGGGCACCGACATGGGGGGGCAGAGCCCCAGCCGTGGCTGGGAGCAGAGCCGGCCCCGCCGAGTGGCTGTGCAGCAGGCAACGGGACAGCCACGTGCTGGCTTGGTCAGCAGGGACATGCCACCAGCCAGGGAAGGGGACAGAAGCATCCCAGTCCCCTTCCTCCACAAGGCAGCTCGACGGATGAAATTACAGGGTCCCACAGACTCATGGAGCATCGCTCTGCCAGGCGTGGGGCAGGAGGCACCCAGCCCCCCATGACGCCTGCTGCCCTGCCTGAGGAGGGCATGGATGGACAGACAGACAGCGCAGGCACCTCTCACCTTGGCACTCGAACTTCTTGGCAGGGGTGGTGAGCAGCAGCTTGCCTTCCATGTCGGGGGGCCCAGCACAGCGGGCGATACCTGGCTCTTTGTACCCCGTCTTGACCCAGGTGGAGAGCCAGCGCAGGTTGCAGCTGCAGTACAGGGGGTTGGCCCCGATGGCTCTGCAGTGGGAGGAAAGGCAAAACTGCACCCGCCGCCCCACAGAGGGAACTGGGCTTGGAGAACTTGGAACCAGACATAACTCTGTCACTTGGCTGGGCTGCCATGCGATGGGGGGACTCAGTGCTCCTCCGTTTCTGGACCTACCAGAGGTGCTGCCTGCGGTGGGAGGACTGGAGCATACAGCCCCACACCGTGGCCCAGTTAGACCATCCCACTGCCAGCCCCACAGCCCACACAGGGCCCTGGGGCTGTCCTCGGCTGCCCACACAGAAATCCTCTGGAGTCTCTCTCTTAGCACTTGGGCAAAGCTGCCTGGGCCCAGTGCAAACTGGGCAAACACCTTGGGGCTGTGCAGAAATAACAGGACCATTGCACCGGAGCTGTGGGGCCAGCCCGGGCTCTGCTGCACAAGCCTGCAGGGCAGGGACATGGCCATGGGCTGCTGGGGACAAGCATTAGGTCCCGGCTAGAGATTATGGGGACAGCACTGGGGGAGAGCAAGGAATTGCTCCGAGAGAGGAGGAGGGAGCAGCAGATGACATGGGAGGCCGAGGGGCTGGATGCCTCTTTGCATTCTCCTCCACTTCAAAGGAGAACGGTGATGGAGGGCCGGGGCGATTGACCCCTGTGACTAAGGAAGGAGATGGCAGCCCAGAAGGCAGGCGGCAGGGACAGCAGATCTGCTGGGGCTGACAAACCCAGTCCTACAGCACCGACAGCACCGGCTGGTGACACAGCTCAGCCCTGCCGGAACCAGAGGCGCTGGCTTGTAGTGGCAAAGGCAGCACCGTGCTTTGGCAAGGGAAAGGGGTGAAGATCCAGAGAAGACCAAACCGAGCAGTGTTGCTCCCAAAAACCACAGGGAGGGCAGGATTGGAAATCAAGATGCTCTCTGCAGGCTGGAGGAACAGCCTGAGACCCCCAAGATGCCAGGAGCAGGACTGGCCACCAGCAGGTGGGTGGGAACAGCTTAGGAGGGACAAGGAAGGGACCTAAATGTCACCATGAGCAAAGCTGAACCCCCATCCCGGGTGGTGGGTACAGGGCTGGGCATTTGGGGTACAGGCTCCCTCAAAGAGGGGCTGAAACACCCACTAGCAGGAGCGTGCCTGATGACAGATTTGGGGGGGGGGGGGGGGCTGCTGCAGGGAAGTGCCCTGGCAGGAGGCTAACGGCACGTTCCAGGGGTCAGAGCAGCCCCGCCGACCCACAGCTGTGCCAGCACCTTGCATGGTTTGACCTGTGCGTTAGGGAACCGTGGGGACCTGGCAGTGTTGGCAGGGACACCACAGCACCTCCAGCAAGGACCACAGGGCCATTCCAGCAGCACCCGGAGGCTCAGCCGCACACCTGGACTTGGGGGCTGAGCATGGGGAGGGCAGGCACAGCATGGCACTGCCCCAAGTACTGGTCCAGAGAAGGAGGCAGCTCAGCCCCCAGAGAAACTGGGCTCAGCCCTGTAGTTTTTGAAGGTCTCCCCAGCCTGCATCCAGCCCAGCACCCTGCGGAGTGGGGAATACTCACAGGTGGGACAGGGAGGTGACATCTGCAAAGATGCCCTCAGGCAGGCTGGAGATGTCATTGCCGTGGAGAGACCTGCAGAGAACAGAGGGTCCTGTGATGCCCGAGGCTCCAGGGTGGGCAGCAAGGACTGCGACCAGCTGGGCTGCCCCCATCCCATGGCCCAGGCGTGGGTGGCAGAGCTGGACCCCACCACCCCGTCTCTGTTGCAAATGCACCATCTGCTCCAAGAGGCTGATGCATCTCCTCTTGCTCCTCCCACAGCCTGTACCCTGCCCGCCCGCCTGCGCCCAGCTCCAAGCGGGCACAGGGGACATGGGGACACAGGCAGCAGCAAAGAAGGGGCTGAGCGGGACTACGGGCAGGCACTTACAGCAGCCGGAGGGAGCGGAGGCCCTCGAAGGCCAGCGGAGGGATGCACTGCAGGGAGTTGTAGCTGAGGATCCTGCGGAAGGGAAGGAGGGGGGCAACACAGCGCCGGGGGGCACTGCTGGGTGTGCTGCAAGAAACCCACCCTGGGCTGCATGCTCCCCCTGCCTGAGCTCCAGCACAAACCAGAGCTTCACCCAGGTGGAGAAGGGAGACCCTGGTGCCTCCAGCACCCCCCCGATCTTGGGGGTCCCCTAGGAACAGCCCCCCCACAGCTTGGCTGGGCTGCAGCCTGGTGTGGCACGGATAGCACTTACAGGGTGGTGAGCTGGCTCATGTTGGTGAAGGAGGAGTTGCTCAGGGAGCTGATCTTGTTGTTGCTCAGATCACTGGAAAACAGAAACGCCCGGGGCTTGAAGCCAGCTGGGCCCTGTTCCCCCTTGCTGCTCCCCCACCTCCTCAGCTGCAATGGGGTGCAAACAGCAGCATGGCACGGCCTCCAAGGGAGCAGCAGGGCTGTCACACAGGGTGATGGCAGCAATGCCACTGTCCCCCCTCTACCCCATGGCAAGTGCCAGCAGAGGCTGTGAGCACCCAGGGGCTGAGCAACGCGGCCAGCCATCACTGCGTCCCTGTGTAGAGTGGGGACACAGCGGGATGTTGGGGGTCCCTGCACACTGCCAGGCCCTTCCTCAGGATCATGTGCCATGGGGACAGTCCCTGTCCTCGCCCACAGGTCCCAGCAGCAGGACTGGCTGCCTGGGCTCCTGCTCCTGCCTACTTACACGAGCTGCAGGTACTTGAAGGTGGAGAGCTGCCCTGGGACCTGAGTGAACTGGTTTCCGTCCAGGTAGCTGCAAGGAAGAACAAAAGCACCTCAGGGTGGCTGAGAAGCAGGAGGTCCCTCCCTCTGCTCTCCTGTTTCTCCTGTGCACCCCCACGGACTCTGGGTTGTGAAGAGCATCTCCAGCACCACCTCCCTCCCAGCACCCAGGGTCTGTGGGGTTCTCAGGGACCCCTGGGCTGGGGGGGGGGGGGGGCAGTGTGTGAGTGCATTAGCACACCCGGGTGCTCTGGCACGCAGGTCCCCAGGGACAGGCTCCCAGCAGCCTGCGTGTGCGAGCGCAGCCAGCCATGTGCTGTGTTTACACATCCGATGTGAGCGTGGGCGGCTGTAACCGTTTCCAAGGCATGTGTGAGAGCGAGCGGGGGGATGCAGAGAGAGGAGGGGGGTGCGAGACAGCGCAGGGGTGTGAGGGGGTGGTATACATATGTATGTGTACTACCAGTGCCTACACCCCCCTGCACCCAGGACTTGCTGCCGTCCCCCATCCCAGACGGGTGCGGAGCCCCTCTCGCAGCGATGGGCATCGCATCGCCCGCACACCCAGAGCTGGCACGGCTGCTTGGGCATCTCCCCGACACACACGGTGATGGGTGGCTGACCCTGGGCCCGTGTGCTCAGAGCCAGGGCTGCCAATAGCATCCTCGCCGCCGCGGTGAGAGGTGACGGCAGAGAGGGGCTGGGGAGCTGGCAGAGGCAGGGGGGCCCTGTCCCTGTCACTGATGGCAGGTTGCTGGGGATCGCAGAGCTTGCAGGGGGTGGGTGTCCCATGCTGCCCCTTCCCAAGGACCAAAGAGCAGGAACCGAGATGCCGTGACAATATCACCCCTTGCACATCACCCTTGGTAGCCCTGAGGCAGCAGCGAGGCTCTTGCTGAGCCCCTTGATGGGGTTTGGGGCTGGACAGGGTCCCTTGGATGGGTGGGGGTCCTGTTCCCACTACCGGGCCGAGATGGGGGTGTGGGTGGGAGCATCTCTGCCCCAAATCCTGTAACCCTACGGCAAAGACTGCCCCCAGCCAGAGCTGCAAAGTTGCTGGTGGTCAGGAGGAGAGCCTGGGCACTCGCCCACCACTCACAGCTCCGTGACGTTCTTGGGGATCCCCTTGGGCAGGGCCTTGAGGTGCTTGTTGCTGCAGCGGACAACGGTGTCGAGGCAGGTGCACTCCTGCGGGCACTGGGGCCGGGGGATGCAGCTGGTCTCCTCCTGACCTGCACCGGGCACAGAGAGCCACAAAGTCACCAGGTGCCAGCCCTCGGGCACTGTGCGAGGCTGGACTTGATGCCTTGTGCCTGCCTAGTACTGCTCCCCTCCCGTGCTGACCATCTCCCCTCACCCCCAAAGCAAGGTGCTGCAGGCAATAGCTCCAGCCCAGCTGGAACTGCTCCTGCACCCAGAAACCACCTGCCCCACCCAGATAGATGCAACCAGCCAGCTCAAGGCTGCTCTGATTTTCACCATTTTCAAGTAAAAATGCAGTCCCAGGGACAGCAGAGAGGAGGGTGTGGAAGAAGGGGCTCAGCCCTGCAAATCCTCCTGAAATAACCTCCTTCACCCATCTCCCAGACACCGGCTAGAGGGAGCAGTGCCTGCGTGGAGCAGCCAGAGGAGCCGGCACTGCTCCCCCTTCCCCACCACGGTGCTGGGCTCCTGCGGGAGAGGCGTCCCCAGGACGACCGTATGTTATCTCGCACCGTTAGGAAAGGCACAGGATGCAACCCTTCAGTCTTTGACGTGGTGGAGGAGGGAAAGCAGAAGAAACGATGATTTGTTTGTAAATATTTTCCAGAGGGCTCAAAAGTTGTTCTAAATTTAAAAAAAAAAATTTAAAAAGGCTTTTCTCTCAACATGCGCGCTCCCTGCCTGCTCCATCTGCCCAGCTCTAGCACGTGTGCAGGGCTGGGAAGGGAAGGAGGGAAGGAGCAGGATGAATCCCAGTGGGCTTTGCCTACACATCTGCTTCTGCCAGCACCCAGGGCGCAGCCTTTGCCAGCACAGAGCTGCCTACGTACAAGGTCCATGGGCTGCTGTGGGTGCAAACTCCTCTCCCGGCTTCAGAGCAGCTCATGGGTATTTGAGTGCCCACCCTGAGCTACCGACTTGCCGCGGGCGCTGCCAAACATCCCGGGTGCTGGGACAGGGAGCGCGGTGCCAGCCTGGGAGGAGCAGCCCGGTCCCCCCTCACCCCCGGTGCCTCAGGGCCCGTGAGTTACCTTCCTCACACCTGAAGTCGGGGAAAGCCACGTCCTGGAGAGGGATCTGCCGGAGGAAGTCGGGGTTTTGGCACCGCGGGTTCCCCGTCACGATCTTCCTCTTGCGCAGCCAGTCCCCCAGCCAGGCCAGCTGGCAGTTGCAGTTGAAGGGGTTGGCGAGCAGGTTCCTGCACACGGGAGGGAGCACGAGGGCATCATCTGAGCAGCTGCTGGGCAAGGGGGACCCCCTGCGGCCCCCCCCTCCCCCAGGGCAATGGGGACAGCCTGGGAGCATCCCCCCCAGGCCCTGAGACGTACAGCGTGGAGAGGGACTGCAGCGTGTCGAAGGCGCCCGGCGCGATGGTGCTGATCTGGTTGTCATACAGGGAGAGCAGGCGGACGTTGCGCAGCCCTGTGAAGCTGTCGTTGTGGATGCAGCTGATGCGGTTGTTCCTCAGCATCCTGCGTAGGGAAGGGGACAAGGGCACCTAACGACCTGGGCAGGCACGCCGAGGGAAACCCACCTCGGCAGTGCCTGGGCTGTGCCCGCCTCACTGCCAGGTAGGGGGATGAGCCCAAGACAGTTCCTGAGAAGCAAAAACCTGCCCCCTCCTCCTCTAGGTATGGCCAGTGGATGGGTAAGACACATCCAAGCTGGCCCCTCAGTGATGCAGACAGCACCAGCCTGGGATCGCGGGCAGGGCAGGGGAGCAAGGAGCAGGGTTGTCCCCACCCCTGTGCCCCCAGCAGCGGGGGGACTCACAGTGTCCTCAGCCCATCCAGGCCCCTGAACATGCCACTCCGCACAGACTCCAGCTGGTTGACGGTGAGGTGCAGCTCGCTGACGGAGGATGCCCCCTCAAACGCTCCGTCCTCGATCTCGGACACCTTGTTGTTGCTGAGGTTGCTGCAGAGAGGGGAAAACAGGCTGGGATGGGGGGCTCTGCCCCAACCTCATCCTGAACCCTTGCCTCCCCCAGGTCCCACTGAGCGCCACAAGATGGCCAGTCCCTCAGGGGACCCTCTGGTTGCGACGTGCCCACATTTCACACCCCAGGCTGCCCTGGCATCAGGAACCCCATGAGCCTTCCCAGTCCCCAGGCAACACAAAGGGGCTGTGCCTGACTGATACTCACATTTTCTTCAGATGTGGGAGTTTCTTGAAGATGCCAGTGGCCTCCAGAACAGAGATTTCATTGTTGTTCAGGCGCCTGGGGTGGGCAGCAGGAAAAAGAGCTTAGGAGATGGCTGAAAAGGGTCTGGTACAGACCAAATCCTGAGCCAAATCCCAGCACCGATGATGCTCTGGCTGCAGGACGGAAAGCAGAGTGAGAGGGAGGAGACTCTTACAGCTCGGCTGTGGACTGCGGGATGCGCTCCGGGATCTTGGTGAGCTTCAGGTTGGAGCACTCAACCACATTGGATTCGCAGCGGCACTTCGGGGGGCAGATCACGTCGCTGTTGCACTCGCTGTTCAGCTGGTAATCCTCCGTCCCTGCACGCCAGCGAGGGCACCGTGAGCCCCCATGGGCAGAGGCATGGGGGCTGCACCTCCCCTCCTCTGATCCTCCCACACCCCCAGCCGGGCTCCGTCTCTTCCCCAGCTACCCTCATCTGGGCCGCCGCACACACATTACTGCCCAAAGCAGCTTAACTGCAAGGATATTTATCCTGGGTACATGGGGCGCTGCGCTGGCTGCCACCCTCTCCCCTCCTGCCACCAGAGCCAGACCCCAGGGACACCTCTGTGCCCATCCAGGTAACGGCAAGATGGGAGATGCCACAACACGTCCTGGTACCCAGCGCTTCTGTCACTGTGCCACCTGGGAACTCAGCAACCAGAAATTATGGGAAATGCAGTGTGGTCCTGCCGGGCCAGACCACTGAGCTCTGGTACAACCACCCCTTCGGCAGCCTGGCCAAAAGGGCACCGTGAACACACCCACGCACACACGTGTCATCACCTCTTACCTGGGATGAAATACTGCTCTTTGGCTGCAAAAAAAAAAAAAAAAAAAAAGAAAAAACCAAACCATCAGCAGCCTGAGCACATGGACACCAGGCTGGGGCAGGACTGAGGACAGCCGTGCTGCAGAGCGCCCGTGATGGGGATGGGGACAGCTCTCACCGGAGCAGCGAAACTTCTTGCTCTTGATCTGGCCGATGCGTTTGTTGGCCAGGCGCCGGGGGCTGGCGCAGCGGGCACCACTGGTCTCGATGGGGTTGGTGCGGAGGAAGTCTGCCAGCCACTTCAGGTTGCAGTCACAGACAAAGGGGTTCTGGGCCAGGTGCCTGCACCAGGGACAGCGGGTGACCACCACCTCCAGCCCCAGCTACCTCCCGAGATGCTTCCCACCTGGGCATCGGAGCTGGTGTGGGCACTCACAGGGTCTGGATGGCCCGCAGGGAGGTGAAGGTGCCCTTGGCCAGGCTCTGGATCTTGTTGTCGTAGAGCGAGAGCAGCGAGAGGTTCTGCAGGTCCTGGAAGGCGTCTGCCCGCACGCAGTTGATCTTATTGGCATTGAGGAGCCTGGCAGGGAGGGAGAGAAGGAGGGAGGTGAGCCTGGGGACCCCCTTCACTGCATCATGGGTGCTGAGGACCTCAGCCCTGCTTCCTGGTGTCCCCGCAGAGCTTCCCACCCAGCCACTGGTGCCTTACAGCAGCTGCAGGGCAAAAAGTCCCCCGAAGACACCCCTGGGGAGGTCCGTGATCTTGTTGCCATACAGCACCCTGGGAGAGAAAGGCTGGTGTGAGAGCGATGAGGGGGAGCAGTGTGGGGTACGGTTCAGGGGGCGCAGTGTCCACCCCACACACCCCAGTGTGGGCACTTACAGGGAGTTCAGTGAGCGCAGCCCCTGGAAGGCGTCGGGGGCGATCTCCGAGATCTGGTTGTTGCTCAGGTCTCTGAAACCCCAAGGGAGAAGGTAGCCTGGTCCCCTTTTCTCTCACCCCATCCCCCCCACTGGCTCCAGGGGACCACCCCCAGCACCCGATATAGAGAGCTGGGGAGATCCAAGACCCCATCCCCGTGCTGCCATGTGGGGTACCCATGGCATGGCAAGTGCCTCGTGCCTGTCGGAGTGGGGGGCTGTGGGGTCACAGCAGTGGCCAGGGGTGTGGAGGGTGCTGGGGTTTAGAGCGAGCTGGTAGGGGCTGCACACTTACATCCTCCGCAGCTTCTTGTAGGGGGAGAAGGCACCTGGGGGGATGGACTTGATGCCATTGAGCTCCAAACGTCTGCAGAGAGAAGGGGGAGACAGGAGGGCTGTAGGGCTGACAGGGCTGGGGGGCTGCAAGATCCCCAAGCTTGCAGTAAGTTACCCCACTAGTGTGGCATCATTCATCCCAGGGACAACTTGCTGCCTGTGGTCAGGGCTTTCTCCATCAGGGAGGGTTGTCATGGGTGGAGGGACTATGCTGGCTGGGATGGGGGGACCACCTCCTCCCTCCTGCACCCTGGGTCTGGGGGCATCTGCTGCCTCCCACGTGCTTTGCGCGCGGTCCCAGGGGGGGCTTTGCACCATAATTGGATTCCCCTAAGGAGCTTAATTCTCTATTTACATTTTTAATGCAGCTAAATCCAGGACTAAGTCTGGGCAGCATGGGAGAAGGGCAAGGGAGACCTGTTGCTCTGCAGGGTGGCTGAGCTGTGGGGCTTGCCCCCATGTCCCCGCTTCCTCGAGCCACCCAGAGCCCGATGGTGATGGTGTGGGACTGTACTCACATCTCCGTCATGGTTTCGGGCAGGTTGGCGGGGATGGCTGTCAGCCCCTTGCCCCGACAGTCCACAATGCCGTTGCTGCAAGTGCACATGGCTGGGCAGGAGCCAGAGGACAAGCTGCAGAGCTGGGCACGTGCCGGGTCTGTTTGTCCTGCTGAGGAAACAGCCACCATGGGAGTTGCAAAGAGCTGGGGCAGGCGTGCAGGTGGCAGCACACCAAGGAAGGGACCCTGGTGACAGCTCAGCGTGCTAGGACAGCTCGTAGCACCCCTGAGTGGGTACGCAAAGTCCTGGTGCACCCCAACCCTGTGCAAAAGGCACACAGCTCCGAGAGCACAGACCGATGCCCGCTCTGTCACACTGACAGGGTGCTGTTGTCCCCACGTCGTCCCCGCACCAGGGACTGTGCCGAGCTGAGCCCACAGCGTGCATCCAGGCTCTGAGCTGGGGCACGTGGCAGGGAGTGGAGGTGGGCTGCATCGATGGGACAGGCTTTGTCCCCCCAGTCCATGTCTCTGCCCTGGCCATTCGCCGCCTCCCCTGTCCCCCTCACCGGAGCAGCTGAACTCATTCTTCTGGATCTCAGCCACGTTGAGGCCGCGGAGCTGGGCTGGAGCAGCACACTGGGTGAAGAGCCCGATGGTGGGACGCTGGCGCAGCCACTGCGAGAGCCAGGCTAGGTGGCAATCGCAGAAGAGGTGGTTGGAGTGCAGGCGGCTGCGGGCAGACGGAGCAGTCAGTGGCCACAGGACGGCTCCTGCTTGCCCCACTGCCCTCCGGCTGCCCCAGCCTGGCTCATCCCAAGGGCTGAGGGCATACAGAGGGGGACACGGAGGAGCCCGAGAGCATCTGCGTTCGTTGCCAAGGCCGCCTTGCTTGGCAGTGCTTGGGGATGTTCTGCAGGGGTGTCCCCTCCATCCCCGCCCCACGGCGCTGTCCCAGCAATGCCGAGCCACCAGCACTGGCAGCAGAGCTGGAGACATCCCACCCCAGCCCAGGGAGCCCCAGCACTCACAACGTCCGCAGCTTGGGCATGTGGTTGAAGCTGGACACAGGGATGGAAGTGATATTGTTGTTATTCAGGGTCCTGTAGGAAGGCAAAGGGGGGCAGGTCAGGGTGGCCAGGCCATAAATAGGAGCATAAGATGGTCCAGGGGGCACCAAACCCCTGGGAGCAGCACCACCCACCCACCCCCTGGCACAGGGTGGATGGATGGTGAGGGAATGGATGGGGACAGCCCAAAACCCTGGGCAGGGATTGCTGCCCTTTCCAGGTGTCTCCCCTCCACAGCCAGCTGAAGCCAGGTAGACCCCCTGGGGCAGGATCAGGCCCTGGAGCACAGCTCTGCAGCAGTGGTACCAGACCCCTGCCCAGCCCCTCCTTGAGGCCAGGGAGAGATGGCACGCCGGGGATGTCCCTGCAGCGCCTCAGTGAGTGGGGAGCACTCGGGGACACCCTCACCCCACATGGGGCTTGCAGGCTGGAGGCTCCGGCCAGCCCCTGGCCACTTACAGGACCTCTAGCCCCCGCAGGGCACGGAAAGCCCCATCCTCGATGCAGCTGATCTGGTTCTTGTCCAGTTGCCTGCAGGAGAAAGACAGAGGGGCATTGCTGGGACAGTCCAGGCAGAATGACCAGCGGCTCCCAACGCCTCCTGCCACCCACCGGACCTGATCCCAAACTCCCTCATGCCCATCCCTGCCAGGACTCACAAGTTCTTGAGGTCAGTGGCCCCGCGGAAAGCTTTCCTGGGGATGGCCTGGATGAAGTTCTCGCTCAGGTCCCTGCAGAAGAAAGAGGCAAGAGGGAAAATGAGCAGTGTCGGCAAAGCATGATGCCCCATGGGATCAAGGTGTCCACAGGCAGGGGCATGCCCCGGCACTCAGTGATCCCCCACGGGCTCTGGAAAACTGTGATTTGGCTTCAGGTCCTTAGTTGCCCACTGCCCTGCTGCCCATCCCAAGGCAAGTCCAGCTCCATCCATGCTGGTTGCAAGTGGCTGGGGGGTCCCTGGGGCTGTCCCCAGCTGCTGTCCCCAGCTCTGATAAGCAGAGTAGCAGGGCACAGCTCTGGGAAAACCCTCTACTTAAATACCCTCTGACAGCTATAATTACAGGTGCCTGCTGATTAACTGTTAATTACACTTAGTGGCTCCAGCAGGCATTCCCATGGAGCCTGCCCTGCACTTTAGAGGGCACAAATAATCGGGTCATTAATTACTTCATCACTCCACGGCACTGTCTGTGTGATCACCTGCTCTGCAATGCCAGGGTGTGCTAGGCTGGCGCAGGCTCTGTGTTGCAGGGCTGGCAATGGGTCGGATCGCCCACTATGCCAGGGCTGGCTTTTAAAGACCACGAAGGCCAAAAATCTCACTGCAAGTACGGTCTGGGTGCACTGGTTCAGCTTGCCACATTGCTGTGGGGACATGCTTATCATATTTGTGCCCCGTGACTCTCGTGCGGGCTTTCCTTCTCCTACCCCAAGGGCCAGGAGCTCCTCGGAGCTCGGCAGGCACCTGCATTGCCCCACGCCAGCACAGCCCTGCTCCGGCCACCCATGGGGCAGGTGGCCAAGTCCTCATCTCCCTTCTGGCACAGGGAAAATGAGGCATGACACAGCATTTGCCCTACGCAGCAAGTCCACAGGTGAGTGAGGAGCAGGACCAGAGCATCCCGCACAGATTAAGCACCACCCAGCATTACACAGGCCATGCAGACACTCCCATCCTAGACCCTGAGGGGTGGTTTGGGGTGACCCTGGATGCCAGTATTTCACACTGGGTGCTCACCAGCTCTGCTTCAGCATAACGAAGCCTATTTACTACCAATACCCCAGGGCAGTTGGGCTGAGTCAGGATAGAAGCACCGCATCCACGCTCCTCCCCATGCCCTCAATTCCTCCAGAACGCAGGCTCAGCATGGCCCACAAGCTGCTTGCAGAAGACTTGGAAGTCTCCAAACTGGGACTTCACCCCACCCAAAAGCTTCACTGCCACAACAGCAAAATGTTGCCAGAGGGAAGCACCAGCATCACTTGCACAGCTGCACGGGGAGAAGGAAAAGGGCTGCCCAGCCACCAAGGAGCTGCCGTATGGTGCCAGGGGGATGCACCAGCCCCTGCCCCTTCGGCATGCAGGTAGCGGGGGGCCGGTGCATCGCTCCGGGGGAACCAAACCCGGCCAAGCACCCGCTGGGGCAGAGGAAGGCAGATGCTGCCCCTGGAAGGGCCCGGGGAGGGTAAAGCCCCGCTCCCCCGCTGCAGCAGCCGGGCGCGCAGCAGGAGCAGTTTCACCGCCACCCGCGCGGCGGCACTGCCAGGCTGCGCTCCCCGAGCACCCCCCGGCTGCTCCAGCCCTTCCCAGGGCTCCGGGCTGAGCCCCTCCAAAAGCATCAGAGCTGCCTCACACTATCCAAAGGGATAGGACCCAACACCCCAGCACCCCCTTTGGGCACAAACGCCCCCCCCTCATCCTCTGCTGGGGATACAATGAGCCCTCAGGAATTGCACTGACCTTTCAGAAAAACACAGCATCGCCCCAACTCCCCTTTTCTTTTTTTGGCTCCTAGAAGAAGGAATCCCCTAGAAAACCCTCCAGAACCCCTCAGATGAAGTTCATTGCTCCTCCTAGCCATGCAAATAATGCACTGTGCTCTCCCTTGGCAGCTGCCTGTCCACCACCATCAAACCAGTCGCAGCAGGGCCGAGCATGGGAGCACCCACCACACTTGGGCGCTCTGCACCCCACTCCCAGCTCTGGCACCGGGCAGCCCCTGCCTGCAGCTTGTTTGGTTCCCCCATGGAAACCTTGCTTGTGCTTCTCCGCTCGCAGAACACGGGAGTCCCAGTGTACCCGGGGAGTAAACCCAGGCGTCTGTCTGCAAAAGCTGCTGACTTACAGCTCGCGAGGGAAACGCTGCTAGGAGGTTACAACTGATTTTGCGAGGCTTCTCCCCTTCACAGCTTTTTGTGACAGTCACCAATGAAGTGCTGCCACCGGGGGTACTGAAGCCAAGAGGGACAGACGCTGGATGTGAGGGTTTCAGCAAGGCCCCGGCACCGGGTTTACATTGCCGGCACGGTTACACAGCTGACACCACTGGGACAAACACATCCTTTGCCTGTGGGATCCTTGGGCCCCAGCATTGGAACAAGGCATGGCCCCTTCCCTCCTGGTGTTTCATAGCTCCCAGCTATGTTTGCTTTACACTTTGGCGCCAAAGAAACAGCAGATGGCACGGCTTCTCCTCGCTCTGCCGCGCGGCTTGCAGCATCCTCGGTGGCTGCGCCGGTGCCACCTCGCACCCCGCCAAATATAAGTATGTCGCTGCCATCACAAGCGGAGTGTGTCAGCTTGCAGCGGTGACCACAAGCGCTGGCAGGTCCGACAGCCCCGCTGGGGACCAGCCAGAGGACGGGCATGGACAGAGGAGGGAGAGAGAAAGCAGCTCCTGCCCCGTTGTCGCAGCTGCCCTTTCTGGTTTCACCTCCAGAGATTTTCCTAAAGCTCCAAGTATAAGAGTTCCTGGTTACTGAATCGAGGGGATGCCCAGGCAGCCGGCCTATCCGCAGTGCTGCCATCCTCCCACCCCTGTGCCATGGGAACCATGCAGATGGAGTTTCTCCCCACACAGCACAGGGTGCAGAAGACTCCAGGGGTGCACAAGGCGGAGGATGATGAGGGGTGAGCAGGCGACGGGGCGGGGGGGGGTACACAGCCTCCTCCCTGCAAGCACTAGAGGACAGAGCTGGACATCTGGACTGCCAACACCCTGGGCAAACCCGCCACGGAGGCTGTAGCACACGTACATGCCCCAGTGGGAAGCTCTCAGCAGCCTGTCTGCAGCTCAGGGCCCCCACCTACTCCCAAGGGACCTGCTGCATTTCCCCCCTTCCTGGCCCAGCCCCATGTGCCCCCAAGCTCACACTCCACAGGGGTTTCTGACCCAGCAGATGCCTTTTAATTAGCAGCAGCCAGCTCCAGCCCATGGCTGTGCCACAGGGAGAAGAAGGACGCCTGGTTTTCTTCCACATCCCCCAAAAGCCTTATGGCCAAGCTATGTCCACGCAATCCTCCCCTGGCTAGGCAGCGTGGAGGATGGCAGTGGTCAGTGACTGGGATTCTGGACATTTTCCGCGGTGCGCACACAATGGTTGTCGATGAAATACGTGTGGGGCAGGTCAGGTGGTGCCCCTGATGCTGGCTCTCCTGGCAGCCAGCAGCCCCTGCCCCACGGCCGCCGGTCCCTGGGGAGCCTCAGCGAGGAGCCAGGCGGAGGGGCACGGCCCCCGCGGGGCTGGCAGGGGCTCGGCGGCAGGAGCCAGCCCCCCAGCACGCCGCCCTGCCCGGCACTTAGCGGGGCACCCGAGCAAAACCGTTCAACATCGCTTCCCAGTGGGGAGCCCACTCAGGCAAACAAACCCCAGCAGCCTTAATCTCCCCGGCAAGAGCCCGGCGGGCCGGAGGGCGGGTGGGAGGGAGGGGGCTGCGGCGGCTGGGCAGGGAGGCCGGGGCTATTACCACGCTCTCATTCTTTTGGCTAATCCTGACTTCACACTTTAACCTGATTGAGCCTTGTTTGGCGAGCCGGCTCCTCGCGCGCCGCGTGAGGGGATTAGGGCCGGACGCAGCAGGGAGGTAATTGCTTCCCAGCGGCGCTGGCCCCGTGTCCACCGAGCCCCCCGCCGCCTGCCAAGAGCGCCGGGGCGGCCTGGCAGCCCTCCGGCACGGCGCTCCCCTCGCCAGGCAGCCCGGCTTGGCAGCGGCCGCCGGCGCTGGCCGTGACGGCGGTGCGCAGGTCCGTCTTGCCCGGTGCCAGCAGCCACCGGGGCATCTCCGTCCAGGAGAAAGGTGCAGCCCACGCCACGTCCCAGCCGTGCCGGGGGGGTGCTGTGGAAGGCACGCCACGGCGGGCGGGCGGCTTTCCGCCCCGGCAGCACCCGCACGGCTAGGACCGGCTGCCGGCATCAGGCAGATGGAGCACAGGGGGTTGCTCTCCTCTTTAGTTTGTTGCCTGCCCAGCTTCCAGGCTGGAAAGACATTAGCATCCAGTGGTCTCCCAGACCCTCTCTGGCTCACTGGGGCAGAGAAAAGGCATTAACCCTTCAGCTGCTCCCATGATGAAAACGCATGACAGGTCCCTGCTCACAAGCTGGGTGCTTCCCCCAGCAGCTCCGCTCCTCCGGCACTGGAACCAGTTACTGCAGGCACCAGCTTGGCCACAGCTGTCCACCAAGTCTCGACCAGACAAGGCAGCTGCCCTTACAGCCACAGCCACGTAGCTCTGGGCAGCACCGGCGTTTTGGGCTGGGATAGGTGCTTCCCAGATCCCAGGCTCGCCTCGCTGGCACTGTGCCGGAGCAGGCTCTGCCAGGGTGCAGCTGGCATTTCCCCAAGGCAAAGGGCCTGCCAGGGACTAACCAGCAAGGATCATGGCACCAGCAGCTATTAAGCAGCCCGGTGTCCCTCGGGTCACCCCACACATGCTGTTTGTCCCAGCACAGCCTGCTCAGGGCAGAGGGATGGGCAGAGCCAGAGCTGCCCCGCCGGCACGGCTGTTCACGCCACCGCCTGACAGGTGACAAGGGTGAGCATGAAGGTGACAGAAAGACTCCCACATTACACAAGATCGATACGCTAATCAGCGCTCACATTAGTGGCTGACAGCCCAGAGTCCCCCCCGTGGGGTTTTGCACTCCCGTTTCTCACTGCAGGGGAGGCGCGGCTGCAACCACCGCTTGTGCCAGCATCGGTACCCGCAGCCCTGTGCTGGGGGAAGCAAGT